CCCAGTGTGAACATTTCAATGTCATTTTAATGCATACTTTAATATGGTTACAATAATGAATTCTATGTTTATTTATTCAATAAAATCCATATGCAACCCTAAACTCAAAGCCAACAACAACAATAATCTTTCTTATGAGCATGGAGATAAAGGGAAACCTAGCAGAGAGTGCACCCACAGATTCTGAACTCAGAACTGGGCAGCTTCTAGTCTGGCCTGGGTCAGGCAGAATGGCCTTGTGTACCCCGTGTGTTGAGGTGATCCACGCTTGTGCTTCCTCGGCCTCAGGATTTCCGCCAGCACTCCCTTTCACACTGGTGCCCCTCTCCTTTGCCAGGGCATCCCCTATCTCTTGGTCCCATGCTCCCCCTGAACAGGTGGCATGGGCCCCATACCCCCACACGCTCAGCACCGGGGCTGCTTGGAACCCCATGTGACCGAATAGTAGGCACCCCATGGGGAGACTGTGGGGTGATCGTAAGGACATTCTGAGGGTGAATGATGGGTGCTGATCCCAGTCCTGGGTCAGCAGAGTATGTGCCCTAGAGCCCTGTAGAAGATGCCCCCCCCCCAGTAAATCACCAGACACAGAGGAGTATCACATATTATATGTCTCCTCTATATGGTGTCAGAGGTGCCTCAGGCCCAGATCATCTCTCTGACGGAGGCCTGAGGCCTGAGGCTGAGTAACAAAGGGGAGGGTGGAGAAGGTGAAGCCTGAGTAGGGAGTCTGTACCGCCGTCCCTGAACTACAAAGATGGGAAGAAGGCGTAAGGAAGACTGCAGTGAAGGACAGATGGGAAGATGGTCTCCTTGTGTGGCCTTGACCCCACCTGGGCAGGTGGAAGGAATAGGCGGGGCCTCGACGCTCTCTCTTGCAAAACCTTCCCACCTAATGCAACCTCACTCTTGCATTATCTTCTCCCAGACCAAGTGAGGCGTGGCGGGAAGGGTGAGGACAGCAGGGCTTTTTCTACGGCTTGAACCCTTCGTGGGGCGTGCTCTGGTGTCCTCGCTGTGTCAGAAAAAGAGACAAGCGGAAAGCTGTAGCGACAGCTCCTGCCTGGAGCCTGTCTGCCGTCTGTTGGTGGAGCTGAGGCTCCTGGGAGCTGTCATCCTGCCTGTCCCTCCGTCCCCATCTGCCAGCTCTAAGCTTGGATTCCACCGCACCAGTTCCAGCAAATACACAGCGGGGTCAGCTCCAGGCTCTCAGTTAACCGAACACAGCCTTGAAGACATCTAATAGACTGGTCTTCTCCGTAGTTCCTTCTTCCTTACCGCCTAGGACAATGGTTCTCAATCTGTGAGTCATGACCCCTTTCGCAGGAGTCACCTATCAGATATCCTGCATATCAGATACTTACATTATGATTCATAACAGTAGCAAAATGACAGTTATGAAGTAGCGACAAGGTACTTTTATGGTTGGGGTCACCACAGCATGAGGAACTGTATTAAAGGGTCATGGCATTAGGAAGGCTGAGAACCACTGTCCTAGCATGACTGTGGACATCTGGCTTCTCTTGAGATCCAGCTTGGTGACAAGCAGATTCTGCTCAGCTCTGCTCCTGGCTGGATTGCCACCCGACAGCTACTCTGGTGTGGCTAGGGTTTCCCGGGCCTGTCCCCGTGCTGGAGCTCATCCTGTTGGCTCCATCGTCTATCTCAAGTTATTATTGTCCTCCAGACCGTCCCCAGCTCCTTGTCCCCAGCTTCTTCAACTTCCCGAAGAGCATTTGCCTCGGTTGCTTGCTTATCTCACAAATGATAAGCCTGGAGTTCTCGTAAGCACCCTTAGGTGGGCTGTGGGGCTGGTGTGTGAGCCAACAATGACCTCAGCTGCTGTGAGCATTAGGTCACTAGGTTGTAGACGGTTGTCTGTCCTGTTTTGAGCCTTCTCAGTGGGCAGACGCACACTCCACTTCTGAGTAGCTCATGGGGTGGGGGCACACTGAGCAAGTAGAATGCAGGTCTCTCTCGCCATTCCATAACAAGTAATGCTTATGACTTCCCCTTCAAGTTCAGTGTTATTCTCAGAGAAATAGCTGTGTGCTGTGTGCATTATCAGCCATCCACACTGGGGTTAGGCTACGATGCCCCGTAACAGGCAATGTGAGAGGGGACTAGGGTTTGTTCAGCATGGCGAGCCCCGCTGTTCCATCGGAGATCTTGAACTACCCATCTCATCAGGGCCACTTGCTTCCCCAGGAGAGGCCTTGTATCAAGGGCCTCTGGGTGGTCAAGAATCTGCTGGACACTGTTAGAGTGTGGAGGGAGCTAGGAGCACAAATTGTGTGACCTTCCATCCTTGGTTAAGGACTTTGAGCCCAGAAAGCATAGTGATTCTCCGTGGACACACAGAGAGGGCCTCTGAACACAGGTGCTCTGGAACCTGACTTTCTGTGTCCTTACCTGAGCTGTAACAGGCAACAGGCACTCTGGGCATAGGAACCCTGTCAGACCGCAGAGTTCCAGAGGGAAAGAGCACAGCCCACAACAGAGGAGGGGTCCCTCCCAGAATCTGTCATGAGTGCCAGTGGACCTCAGTTGACCTTTCTTAGGGCACCAGGTGGTGTCTGCCTTCTTGTGTGTTTTCTTTTTGGTCATTGTTCCAAATCCTGGGGGTTGGCACAGAACTGCCTGGTAGAGAGTTGAAATGGTGGCCCGGGAAGTTGATACGGCCATGCAGGACTGATGGAAGGGCTGTGGATGCAGGACCCGGGTCGCTGGATCCTGGTGTGGTGGTATGTGACTCCAGGTCACAGGAGGGGAGAGACAGCCAGATGACAAGGAGCTTAGGCAGCACCTTGCTCAGGGGTGGCTGGGTCTCCTGAGTGACTTTAGGAGACTTCTGTGAGGTTGTTTGGAGATCAAGACTCAGAAAGCCCAGGCTTTGCCAGCCCACTGGACAGGCTGACAACTGGCCACTTGGAGTGCCAGAGTCTGTATGTGGTCCTCATAAGGAGAACACGAGGACTGGGAACTTTATTTGGTGGCCTTGGATGCCACTTCAATTTTCCTCTCAAGAGAGACTGAAGGCAGAGGAATATGGGGTAGGACCTCCAGAGGATGGGGGCAGAGGCAGTGTGGTGCCACTGAGGCAGTGGTGGTTGGATCCAGAAGAAGCCCACAATGCTTCTTGGAGCTTCCTGAGAGAGCTGGACCATTTTTACCCTGACCCAGGCCTTCCAGTCTCTGTGTCCTGGAAGCCAGGTCTGCTGTGGAGAGCTGGTAGCCAGGGAACCCACATCCGTGCAGAGATTATAGCCATCGGGCCATGTGTGAAATGTTGAGGCGGCGTGGAGCCTGCACCTCATACTTCCTGAGATCCATTTCATGCAGCCCGTTTAGACTGGAGTGCCCCTCCCTGACAGCCTCCCAGAGCACCTGGGAATCCCCGAGGTACAGGATCAGCATGCTTGTCCCTGTGCTTCACCGAGAGGCTGAATCAATACATTTGTGGTTGGTCAGAGTCACCAAGGCCTTGTGAAACCCGTGGGCTCTGACAGCTACGCTGACCACTCTGGCTCCACTGTCCCTCCATTTTCCCTATTATATATATTGACACTCTGGGGTCTGCAGGGTGGCAGGCTTGGGTCCCTCCTGTGGGTCCCTTCAAAGTCAAACCCTGCCACCAGCTCCATCTTCCTCTTTCCACCGTCCCCTTATGACGTCCTTAGACATCCAAGCAGAGCCCAGGTCAAGCTCTTCCCTGTCCACCTCTCACAGAGCTGTCCATTCTGTGTGCTGACATCAAGACCAGATGAGGAGCACACGGAGAAGGAGGGTGCCCCAGCCCTGGGGAGCTCATGATGGCTTTTACCACCCTCCAGAGGGGCCAAGGAAGGAAGGACAGAGTTCTGGCCTGCTGGGCACTCAAGGTCACGGAGGGCAGGGGCAGCATAGAGGGTGAGAAGCTTAGGCAGCGCCTTGCTTGGGGGTGGCTTGGTCTCCTGGGTGACTTGAAGAGACTTCTGTGAGGTTGTGTGGAGAAGCTAGAAAAGCCCAGGTTCTGAGCAAGGAAGGAACTACCTGGCCTGACTGCTGACCCTGCGTCAGAGCTGGGCTGTCTGGGGCTGCGGGACCCGCTGCTCACAGACTACCGTGCTGGGGAGGAGCTGGGTGGGGCATGGCACGAAACAGTGTGAAGGCCAGAGGCAGCACTCTGGAACCTGAACAGCCTTAGCGAGGATGAGCCGCATGCCGGGCAGCCTTGTAGACAGAGCTGGAGCAGGCTGTTGGGAAGCCTGTCTTTGCCGTGGAGGCTGACAGAGGCCTGTTTACAGGTTGCAACCTCTCAGAGGCTCTGAGCAGCCACTCGGAGAAGGGGGGTGTTTTCCTACCCTATCATCAGGTAGCTCTGACTTAGTGCAGGCGGCTGAGGTCCGAGGCCGTGCGTGGTGCAGCTGCAGAGATAGCATCTCTGAGACACCCGTGGGGCTGTTGCCTTGTAGACTGTTTGCAGACTCGAAACTAAGCTGCCTCTGTACTGGGGCTTCTCTGAGGGCCAAGGGTCGCTAGGGGTGGCTCCCTCCTGCCAGTCTGGACTTGCCCAACCCTGAGCAGGGAGGAGGCGGTGGGCAGGGCACTGGCAGGTGGCTTGTAGAGTAAGACTTTCCAGCCATGAGGCAGAAGCAGAGGCCGCTTTCTCCTAGAAGGCCGCAGCTCCTGGCCAGGTGCGTGCTAGCTCTTCTCAGAGGGAGACTGGAGGGATGGGACAGGCAGCCCCGAGGGGCCGAGCGGGAGGAGGACTGATTTACACTGGTAACTGGGGGATGCTTGGGAGGCACTGCCCAGGTCTGGTCTGAGGCTTGTTCCTTTCCAGGCTGCCTCAGAGAGGACGGGAGCCACACAGGTTCTGGTAGCCATTGCCTTCCCATCTGAACCATGGGAAAGGAGGCTGGGCAAGGAAGGCCCATTTCGCAGAGGCACTGTGACTAGCTTTGGGGTTGGGGTGGGGTGTGAAACATTAGATATACACGCCCTCCTCCAGGTTAGGCCACTGTGTTTGGGGCCTACGATTCAGGAAGAAGGAGGGATTGGGAGAGTGGTAAGCCATTGGGCCTCCACCTCCCTGGACAGCCCCCTTGTGATACTCTTAATTGTTAGGTACTGACTCACCCCACTTCAAAGGCCTTGGCCTCCGTTCAGGTATTTAACCTGCTGCACAGAGCCTGTCACTCTGGAATTCTGCTCATGGAGAGCTGAGCCCGACCTGCAGATCTGCTCCTCACCTGGACAGGTACCTCTTCCTTCGAACCAGTTCACACCAGCTGAAGAGCAGTCCCCAGGGGCCACCAGGGCCCTGCTGCCCACTGCTGCTCAGGGATGCCAGCCCCCTGTGTCTTTGCCCCAGACATGACTGAGCAGGTGCCCCTGTGGCATCACTACCTGCTGGCCATCCAGTCCCGGGAGTCGCCCCGTGTCCAGGACTACCAGAGAGCAGAGAACATCCTGCTCACTGTGCTGGAGCGTGTCCAAGCCTTGGACCCCCGCTTCCTTGTTGACTATTCTCGAGACCTGGAGGCCTTCCAGTTTGCCCTGCGCTCCTCCGAGGACCCGCTGGATGTGGAGGTGCCCCTGGGGGTGGACGCCGAGGCTCTCCTGATTGAAGATTCAGAAGCCGCTGAGCCAGGAGACGGCCCTGCAATCTGTCGCCTGGGTGTCCTCAAGAAAGCGTCTGGCCTGGAGCCGTGGATGACTGATGACGTCTTCAGTGTCTCCTCAGAGGGCAGAGACAAGTGCTGTGGCCACATTGTACCCAGTAAAGTCCTGTGTGTCCTCAAGGATCTTCTGGTGGCTGCGATTGTACACTGCAAACATCACAGCCTCATTCCACCAGGTAATGGCATGGGGGTGGGGTACGGAGGTTCTCTGCACACATGTGCAATGTGTGAGTGCATGTGTATGACCGCTGTGTTTGAGCCTCAGGCTAGCCCATGGGGGCTGCATACAGGTCCGTGTGTGTGTGTGTGTGTGTGTGTGTGTGTGTGTGTTCCTTGTGCATATGAAGGCACTGTGAGTTGTCATTGTGTGTTGGGGGTGGGATTCCTGTGAGCCAGGAGACTTATTCTGGCCCTTGAGCCCCCAGCATCTCTGAGAAAGCAGATTGTGAGTCACATGTGACCTGTTTCTGCACGGTGATTTGGGGAAGACATTTTAACGACTGTCACTTTATACTTGTCTGAAAGTGGAGGACAAGCGTGCTGTTTTGCTGGCCAGCTTGCTGCATTGGGTCTCTGGTAGGGTTCTAGGGAATCAGTCTGTTACCTGTTACAGCCTGTTGTGGTGATGCTTAATGTCTGTTCCCAGTTCAGCTTCAGTCACAATCTGTCAGATTGTGTGTGAACACGGCGACGTGTCTGAGTCAGGATGCAAACACATGTTAGTGTGCATACAAATAGTGTGTGGGGATGTGAACAGACACGAGTATGCATGTGAATACATACAGTGAATGCAGGCTCCTACAAATACAGGCATGTGTGTGTGCATGCCTGTTCCAATTTATGGCTGAGTCGCTAACTTGATACATTGAGACCCAGATGGCTCCGAGGCTGTGTATTTTCAAATGTGCCAGGGACCCAGCCTCAGTCTCTTGCTGGACATCTTGTTTATATAATCTGGGGTGTCAGAGCTCCAGGTGGGTGGGGCTCAAGGCAATGACCAGAAGCAGCCAGTTTCTTTGCACATAGGTGGCTGGAAGGGTAGGTACAGCCTGTGATGATCAAGGTCACTGAGGACCGTCAGTGATGATGCTCGGTCTCTTGGGTTCAGGGGTAGGACACCAGGTTGATAAGGCGCTGGAGGCCGAAACAGAACGTTCTGTTTTTCTTGGGAGGAGACGGACACATGATGGTGGGAGTTGCTCCTTTCTCACATGTTTGTCTTCCCATGTCAACTTCCTGGTATTTGTACTGTGTCATCATCAGTGAGTGGAGTAGTTGTCTCTCCCAGAGGGCAGCAACATGCCTGGGATGCCTAGTGTGTGGAGTCCTGGTCTGACTGCATGTTTAGGGACCTGGGAGCCTGGGATAGTGGACTGCTGTCTCTTCTCATGCTTCCTGGGGCTCTGGGAAAGGATGTCCAGCAGAATCCATGACTGGGCATCTAGATTGCAGTCTGGACTGCAGGTTTCGGGAAGCCCTGGGCTCTTAGACGTCTAACTCTAGGAGGTCAGCTTCTAGGGGCAGTCCCTTCCAGACTGCTAGGCCAGGTGTCCTGGAGCAGAAGACTGACCTTCGGGTGGCCAGAGACTGTCATTAAGTGTCTGGTGTTTTGTGGCTCCTTGGGCATCTTACCTGGTCATCTCTTAAACTCTCTAATTCAACAGGACCATTTCTGCCTTCCTGATTGACCTAACATAGCCATTGTCAGCTGGCCCTGGCTTCTGCAGCTCACTATTTAACTGAGGCACGGACCCACCTGTTGGGGTAACTAGGAGAATTCCAAGTTCTGGGCCATTAAGGACCATCCAGACCTCTAGGCCCCCACCTTGCATATCCTGGTTGCCTGCTGGCTGAGAAAGGAGACCCCCACAGTCAAGGCCCATTCCTGCTGTTGTGGCTGAGCTGGGCCCAGGGGAAATTCCAGGCATTGCTTCCAACACATTCCTTCAAAGGGAAGCTGTTGCTGGAGACAGGGTTCAGGTGTCCACTCCTTGGAACCGGTGAGACCAGCCAGGCCTGCCTTAGAGGTAACCTAGTGAGAACAGGTGTGGCTGGCTGTCTTCCAGGCTGCCATTTCACAAATAAAAATGTGTGACTAGAGGAATACAAGGAGACATTTAAACGCTGAGCTGGGAAGGTCCCCTCCCCCCTTCACGGGGAAACTGAGGCTCATTCAGGATGGAGAATTCCAGAGGTTGCCTAAGAGTTAGTTGTTCTTCAGTTGGTGGGGGCTTAGGGGATACACAAGAAGGCTGGGGTCATTCCTGACAATGGAGGCCCTGTTACAAGGCTTGTATTGGGGATTCTGTTTTGAGCACACACAGCTCCCAGAGGGTTGGCTGTTCTGGCCTCTGACCCAGGCCCCTCAGTAGACATGGGGGAACAGTGCTGGGACAAGAGGAGAGATGGCTGCTGCCTGAGCCTGTGTGATGGTGTGGGTGTCTTTGTTACCCCCTTGCCATCTCTGGTGCTGACTTGTTTTGAAAGGAAGAGAACATGAGGTAGAAGGCGCATGAACACACCAGCACCCAGCCCTGTCTCTCCTGAAATGTTCTCTCTTAGGTGGCCTAGAGGTACATGATAGGGACATGAGCTCCGGTTGGGGTCTCAACAGGGAGGGGAGAGAGAAGTCTCTTGGCCATAGTGTGTCATTCATGAGGTGATGGAGGTAGCCAGTTTCTGGAGTGTTAAGTAGATACAGACCTCATCATGCAGAATGTTCAGGCTTATCCTGGATTTCTGGGTCGCGGCAGCCTGGAAATGGGGTCATGCAAGCCGGTCGGTACCTACGCCTAGGACACCAGGGCCTTTCCCAACACTGACAGTAGTCTCCCATGAACTGGATCCTAAGCTTCTCCTGGCCTTTGTTGCCAAGTCCTACCTGTATGGTATGAGGACCAGCATGCATGCGTAGGGTGGCTATGACCTGAGCTGTTATGGAGGCTCTTAGTGTAGGGGATGCCGTGGGCACGAGCTCCTCACCAGCTCATCAGGAGAGGTCCAGCCTGGGATTGATCCCCACAGCTTTGTTTCTTCTCAGGTGGGCTGGGCTATGTCTGTTTGTTCTCTCTGGCCACGCCTGGCTGGAGGAGGGGTGTGAGTCTCCAGACACCGTAGATGACACTGTAGCCAGAGGCTGTCCTTTAGAATTATCAGTGTCCAGAGGGTACAAAGTCCCTGGAATGGGGTGCTGTGCCCAAGAGCACCCCACTGACTTTCATTAAAGACGGAAAAGATTCAGAATGAAGCAATGGGATGTCTTTATCACAGCCATCCAGCAAAAGAGGGGCAGGCTCTGAGCTGCCCAGGGTGGCAGGGGTCAGGCCAGCTCTTCACACTCAGCTTTCAGCAACAGCCATGTCCAGTGCTTCTCCTTGGGACCTGGTCTCTCTCCTGGCTCCAGCCCGGACACTGAATGGAGCTGAGCATGCGCGGAGGTGGAACAGACAGGGGGCAGATCCCACAGGTCTGGGAGGTGTGGGCAGCAGAATCAGGCCGCAAGACTGAGGGAGGAGCCCAGCAGAGGGAAGGATCCCGAGGGAAGCTGTTGTTATGAAGGATGCTGTGACGTGGGCTTGGCTGGTTGTGCAATAGTTCAGTATGGACGGGCAGGTAGAGAAGCAGCAGATACAGGGAAGGGCGGTCATGACGGCAGGTAGGGAGTCCCGGACCCAGAAGAGGGGAACTAGATTGATGGCAGGTTGTTGCAGGTTCACTGAATGCTGCTAGCCTGAAGGAAGGGCAGCTGCACCTGTCCCTGCTGGTGTCCAGCGGCTGGAGGAAGATCCGCTTCAACGTTGTGCCTGTGGTGAGGAAGAAGCACAGTGTGCCCGCCTTGGAGGGGGCCCAGTTGAAGCCTGGATTCCCTGAGGGCATCTTGAGAAGAATCGCCAGCCACGGGGTGGACCTGGTGCCAGCTAATGCCCAGCACTGGAGGTAGATGTCACTCTGGACCTTTGGGTCCTGAGGGAAGGGGGAAACACCTTAACGCTCCCTGAGCCCCATGTAGGAGGATCTGAGGGGTTCTTGCTTGCTTCTGACCTGTGGGCATCCATGTCATGCTAAGGTTACTAGAATCTCTGGGGGAATTCTAGTGTTCAACGACTCACAGGGGGCTCTGGGGAGGGCAGAGCCATCTTCTGCATGGAGGTGACCAGTAGCATAAAGCTGTGGTGAGATATCCAGTGTGGAAGGTGGTGTGGGAGGGGGTCCTTCACCAACAGTCAGGTAAACACTAGCAGTGGTGTTATCTAAGGTCCTCACAC